AGAAGTATGAAAAAGCTTGTAGGTGAAAAAGTATTCTGATGTGGAAGTGTAGCGGAAAGTTTAGATCGGTGACCCAGAATCTGGACCAGGAAGGTGGAAAGCAAGCCGCGAAGAACATCGGTTGTATTGTGGTAAGAAGGAATTCTGGAGTGACTTTTTTGTCGTCGTCTACATTACTTGAGGACAAGCAATGAGCTAAGTTTAGGGTTGTGATCAGTCACCATTTCTACTTTGTTTATGTCACTTATTCGGTATAAGTTCATCAAATCTGTAACACTTTGGTTTGTCTTTTAATTGTTTTGTTTAAGTTATGTTACTTTTTGCAAATGTATCTTTGTGTTGCTTTTATTTGAATTTCATGTGTTTTAGATGCTTTTGATGGTTTGGTTTGGTAGGTGTTGGTAATCTCAGGTGCAGGTAAAAATACTCAGAGGATTTGTGCAAACGCGAAGCAAAACATGAAGTTGCATAGGCCCTAACACGGTCACCTGTGTCACCTGACACGAGCCGTGTCAAGAGAAGAAGGAAAAGAAGTTGAAGGCAGAAGGTGACACGGGTCCCCATGTCATATGAAACGCCCCGTGTCAAGTCAGATGAAGCATAAACTTTTGGAGGAAGAACCACAAACGCTGACACAGGCGCCCGTGTCCACTGACACGGCCCGTGTCAGCTCAGGCGCTGATAATTCTTAATTTTGGGAATTTCTAGTTTTTTTTAACCCTGAAGGCTACTTTGTATTTTTTGCATAACCTAGGAATGACCAAACTACTTAAACCTAATTTGAAGAAGGAAAAAGGACTTTTGAACGATGGAATAATTTCACGATAGAAGACTGGAGATCTAGAGGAGCTTTGGGAACAGAGAACTCTTCATGCGCAATAACAATTGAATATCGAAGAGTCCAAACTTATTGTAATGTCTACATCTAATATCTGTGTTATTTTACTTTTGAATTCTATGAGAGGCTAACCCCCCCCCCCCCCCAATGCTAAGTGGGTGTCCCTGATTTGTAATGTTAAGAATACTGATCTCTTTGTTTCATTCAACATAACAGATTTTATGTATCAATTTGATTGTTTAGAAGAATTTATAGTTTTAGCCCATGGGACCATAGGGTTTCACTGTTTTTAACATATTAGAACCGGACGATCGTATTAAGGTTTTCTAAATAATGATATTATAGATGATTTCACCTAGGACTAGGGCAATCCTATGATAACCAGAATAATTCTTGATAACTGAATGCTTAACCTCAAAACTAATTTGAATGGACATTGAAATTAGGGTAGAAGGTTAAAGGTTTTTCAGTAAGGACTTAGGGAAAGATAATCTTAAGAATCAGTAATTGAGGTTGATGAACTTGTTGAAAAGATCAAAGAGTGAAGGTTATTTCATGGCAAATCATACACTCACCCCTAGCATCTTTTAATCAAACAAAAAAGTCACATTTTACATTCAGTCATTTAATCTTTTGCAAGGATTTATTCCAATCAAACTAAAAAATATTGTTTTTGTTTGATTGAATTAATAATAAAACTCAGTATTTTCTACGTAGTCCTCGAGATCGATACTTTGGGAATATCCCATTATTACTACATCAGTGAAAACAGTACACTTGTTATTTTTCCAATCAACAATAGTGGGGAACTGTGAAGACAAATTCTCCGTGTCGCTTTTATTTTTTCTTTTACTTGCTTTGATTTTCCTTGTTCGATTTATCAAATAGCATTGCGTTATCATTTGAATTGTAAGAATTTTCCTAATCAAGTTTGATCTTTAACTCAAGTGTTGATATAACTTATAATCACTTTTGATTATAAGTGATTTTGTATATCAACACAATCAAAGGAAGAATTCTGAAAATTCACTTGCAAACCAAGTGTTTGATAAATTGACTAATCTAGTTCTTTTAATATTACTATTGGAAATAGTCTTGCTAAGTAAAATTGATTAAATGATAAATAAATTGCAAAGTGATTCAAGGTTATTAATTCACATTATCGTTCTCATTCCATTTTATTTTTTATTTACGATTTGCATATCTGAGCTTCCAGATAACGTTCGTATAGACAACAATTTGAAAAAGCTTTCGAGTAGTACTTTGATAAAACTTTTTCAAAACCAAATTTTATTTAGATATTTATAAAAGAGGTATCTATTCACCCCCCTCTAGATACTGTTGTCGTCGTCTAACGAGTCAGACTTAAGCTAATATAAAAGCACATGAAGCCTTATAGGTTGACTTATATATATTAAAAAATAAGCTAAATAAGCTGGCCTATAAAAGTATATATAGACCGATCTATATGACTTATAGATAAAATGAACTATTTGAAAGTTTTAATGGGAAACAAGATTTTAAATAAACTTTCAGGTCAGGTCACACTTTTAAAAAAGTCAGGTCAGACAAAAAAAAAGAATTCTATAATAGGCCATAAGTCAAACTCAAGTCTTATGAATTTATCGTAAGTCAGTCTCAAGCCTTCTAAGGTCAGGTCTGGCCTAACCTATTTCTATCCCTAGTTGTGATAGAGAAGAAAATGATAAGAGTAACAGAATATCAGTTGTTACATGTAGCAACGGGGTGAAATATCCTTTTAAGTTGAGATCAATGCTTATTGGTTGTAGTTGGTGTGTTAGGGTTAGATGTGGTATTCATAAACCATGATCTAGCAACAACACAAGGCAATCATGATATCATTGGTCATTAAAAATCATGTAAAAGAAAGTTTATGAATGGTACGATTAAATACCACATAGCATCGAGATTCATAATAGATGCGTTGAAAGATCGAAATCTAAAATCTTTAACAAGTGTCACACAAGTGTATAAAGCACGAGTTGTGGTATTCATAAACCATGATCTAGCAACAACATTAGGCAGTCATGATATCACTGGTCGTTAAAAATCGTGTGAAAGAAAGTTTATGAATAATACGATTAAATACCACATGGCATCGAGATTCATAATAGATGTGTTGGAAGATCGAAATCTAAAACCTTAAACAAGTGTCACACAAGTGTACAAAGCACGAGATGCATGTCGTTCTACTATGAATGATCTATATGCATAAATGCAAACACCTTTGAGTTTAATTCGCAATAAGAAGTATGTGTATTGGGGGAAAACAAGGAGGGCTCCAATGTTATCGAGGTTAGACGAGGTGGACCAACTAGTAGTGACAAATTAAAAATCTAAACTCACCCCACAAAATGCAATAGGATAAACAGGTCAACCAAACAGATCCAACTCATTTAATTTTATCAAGTTTAACTATATGATCATCTCAATTATCAAAATACAAGATGGGTGGTTAAACTATATGATCATCCCAACTACCACAACACAAGAAGGGTGATTAGTGTGGATTATCGTCACTCGTCATCCGACACAAATTAATGTGTTTGGTTTTCAAACAGTCAACTTCAAAACGATAATGATGTGAGAGTTGTGTTCTCAATAGTTGATCAATATCGTTCTTTAACATCAATTGAATTTGACATTATCCTCGTCAAAATTTTGATGATATATATTCAAACTTGATTATTCATAAAATATTTGAAGAAACTAATTTGTCTATTTTATAGTTTTATTTGTATATTTAATATTATTTTATTTTAATTTATGTTGATCTATTATCATTGTTGAATTTAATCTAATTAAAATTTGTTTACTTGAATCACAAAATGTTTAGATTCTTCAATCCGATCATTCAAAAACAAACCATAATACAAAAAAATATTTTTAAAAAGACTTTGGAAAATATTGGGGGGGGGGGGGGGGGGGGGGGGGGACAGTGAGAAGAGATCCGAGAGTGAAAATGATATATGTATTACAAGGGTAATTAAATTACATGTTTCTTTTGAGCAAAAAGAGATAAATCTCTTCTCCAAGGTTTTCTCCTCTATATTATACTCACTGTTCTATTCACAATTGTTTACGATAATCAATAAAAACTCTATATTTTTTGTTGAGAGAATCAGTCCTACATTCTATTTTCTTGTTTATACAAATAGCCTCATAACATTCTCAACTAACTAATTTCTATAACAACTTCAAACTACTTTAAAACCTATTATTATTATATATCCTAACAATATACCATAATACCGCGGGTTGGAAGGCATGTGAAGGTGAGTATGAAAATTTAGATGATGACGACGAAGAAAAGGGCGATGGAGTGAGAAATTAAATTTACATTGTGATTGAAATGAGACGGGTGGTTGTAATGGTGTAAGGAGAAGGTGGATGATGATAGGCCGCAACAATTGAGTATGTAACCTGGACCAGGATCTGCTACCGTCACTGTTTGGTGCAGTCACTCCCGGTCAACTATATATGAACCATATCCGACCTTCTAGGATTATATAACTGTACTATCACCAAAGAATAATTTACAGTCTTGACTAGTACAATGTAACATAAGAAAACTGACACAATAGTTCACTTAACAACTCATGTTTAACACATAAAAGTTCTCCAACCACTAGTAAAGCATAAAAAATAAGGTTCTCAACAAACAGCAGAAGTATGCGTATAAGTAGCAGCAGAGTTTGTACAATATATGAGTGTTGCATCAAATAAGTAGTAGCAGAGCATAAAACACAATGTTGCAACAATAACATCAAATTCATATATTTAGAGCGATATAACATTCCTCTTTGCTGATCTGTATTAGAGAAAGACAATGCAGACATGGGCACACTAGTGAATGATTAACAACCAAGTGTCACAAAGAAAACCCCTATTAATCATAAGTGAAAGATGAATTTGTGTTGCCCTTCTTTTGGAGGTTGATAATCAATTTGCAATAATCAGTTGGCAAACAGATAACTCACAAATAAGAACCATTATGCTTGCTTCAGAAGAATGAGAGTATTATCTACTTGTTGCAAGATGTACATCGACTTAGTATGCGTTTGGTAACTCAGTGCGTTTGAAGTCATTTCTAGTTGACTGTGAATTCTTGCCGTGATTTTCTTGATCACCAAACATAGGCTCAATGTGTTTTGCATTGTTTTTCACGCACTGCACAATCAAAGAACATAGCTTAGTGTTTGTATCCAAACTAAACAATGAGACAAATGAAATGACCGAAAAGAGCATGCACTTCCAACATAAGCAATCATCAAAAACAATAACTATTGATGGTATTATCTTTTCAAAGAAAATTCGACAACAAATGATTTTAACTTTTTAGACAAAACTGAGAAAATCAAACTCACAGCCATTGCAGCTTCTCAACTTCTTTTGCTTGCTAATATGTTCATTCTCTCCTCCACTCACAGGTTTATTCTCCCGAAGAGGATGATACTTCATAGATTCCAACTCTTTCTTTGCAGCATCAAGCCTGCGTTTTTCGTCTCTCTGGTACAATTTTGCATAAGTAACACTAACAACTACTCTCAATCCTTCAAAGATAACATGTTATATACTAACATCAACATGATTCAACACTTACATGAGACTTCTCCAACCCCATAATCTGTTGCTTACAAAGCCTGAGTTCCATCTCCAGTGTACGTATCCGAGATTCAGCCGGCACACCACACTGTTCCACCATCTGTTTTTGCCTACCCCGAACAACCTCAGGTTGCCATACATTCAAAGCCACAGAAGCTTCTCTACAAAAACAAACCACAAAACTCAGATCAACGGAACACACACACACTAAAGTTAAGTTGCCAAGACAAATTAATAAATGCAATAGGCTTATAAAATTGACAACAAGAACAATTGGCCAAATCCTATATAGTACCTCACCCTACGTAAATGGGACAACTCAGTAGAAGTTTGAATAGCTTTGTTTTTTTCTTGAGACATGCGTGTCTGAATATCATGGAGCCGTCTAGAATGTTCGGAAATCTGGCTCTCCTTTCTCAGTACAGCCCTCCTATGAGCTGCTATTTTCCTCTCCTTGTCTCTCTCAAACCTAAACACCAAAATAAAGTATAATTTTTTTAAAATAAAAAAGTGAACTTTACATAGACCCAGATGTAAAAATCAAAGAATAAAGACTCATAAACAAAAAATTACCTGAATTTATAAAGGGATTTGGAAGAAGAGGAAGAAAGGACTGAAGAAGGGAGTGAAAGAGGGAAATCGGAGGAGAGAAGGCGGTTCCAAAGAGAGTGTTGGGAGGAGAGGCGATGAAGGAGACGGGATGTGATGGAGATGCAGCAAAGGTCCTTGTAGGTCAAAATGCTGTTTCCGATGCCGATTTCGAGAATTCTGCTCCAAAGTTCGTCAGGGAGAGAGGCCATTTTCGAGGATTCTTTTCCACATCCGGTATCGATAATTAGGAGTAGAAATGGGTTGAACCGAGATAGGTTTTATTAAACTTAACTTTAATATGTCAAAAAAAACTCAAGTCTAAATCTTACACATATTTTTAAGTTTGAATTTAATTTTTAAGGTATGATTTAGATATTAGTCTAAATAAAAGCCTATTATTATTATATATATATAAAAGTAATTTAAATAATATTTAAATATATTAATAAACTAAAAAAATCAATAATATTAAAATTTGTTTGCATTAATTTATTTTAACTTATTAATTAATATAAGTTTTGTGAGACTATTTGTGTAAAAGGACTTGTGAAAACAATTTATAACATTGTTTATAAGGTGTTTTCATTTTATTATCATAAGTTCTCCAAGATAACCAAGTTTTATTTATGTATTTTGATTCAAAGTACAAAACATAATATAATGATAATAAAAAAATTATTCATTTTTATTTATATAGACCAATCTATTAGATCTAAAAGGTTTTTTTTATGGCCTGAGACCTAAGCTTTTGAACTAAATAGACTTATAAAAAAGTTTAGACCTAGTCTGGACATATGTAGGCTAGGTCATAGTCTAAGCCTACGAGGTTAGGTCATAGGCCTCTATTATCGGCTTGGCCTATTTATGTAAAATTCACAAGGACCTTTGCTAGCTACACCCGTGCATCCTATGTGCACCGTTTGACCCAAATTATTTATGATTTAAAAAAAATAATACATTTTTAGTCTTTTTTTATTTATTTTAAAAATTGATTATTTGATCTCTTTTTTTTAGAGTTTATTATATAAAAATAATGGTTGGTTGATAAACTAACTAATAGTTTATAGTCTATGACTAAGAGCATGATTATCGGTGTTCTTTGAGAGTTCCTACATATTTATTAAAGAAATTGTGTCAATAATAAATGGATATTTCACTTGTTTTCACGTTCCTGAACTAAAACACGTCTTCATACTAAATCACGCTTCTTAAATCTTATTTGGTCTTTTTATTCATTTTTTTCTCAAAGATTGTTAAGAAAAGATGGGTTATGGGGTATATTGTGGGGTTTAGTGGAACCTATTTTAAAGTTTGTGGGGTGTAGTTGATTTGTTTTAAATGTGAGACACATTTTAGATTTTTTGATGAGTTACATGGATATTTGAGAATTGTAGATGAGTTGTTTAAAAAATTGAGAAGTGTGAAATAATATAAAAAATTATGTGGGTCCCATTTAAAGAATCCAAATGGGTATGATGGATGTGGATGCTCTAATGACTACGGACTAATAGTTTATAATTCATAGTTAATTGTTGAAATTGATAGTTGGGAAATTAATTGAAGTGTTTGATAAAATTAATTGTTCAACTAAAATTATAAATGTAAAATGACATAAAAAATATTTAATACATAACTATTTCATTTTAAATTAAAAAAAATTATAAAAGATAAAAGTATGTTTTTTTTAAAATAATAAGGATAAAAATGGAAGAAAATATGACAAGCTATAAGTTAAAATACTATTTGAAATAACGTTTGAAAAATAAATTATAAGCTAGTAAAATAAACTATAAGATCGTGGTAAAAATATTTTTACCAAACAAATCTAAATTATCATACGTGCTTTTTAAACTATAAATTATATGTTATAAACTAAAAAGTGTATCTTACGAAACATAGCATTAGTTTCCATTTAATTTGACTTTCATTTTAAATGACACGACACTTCACACTTAATTATATGTTACTAATATTTAAGTGAAAAATTAAAATTACACATTATTATTTAAGATTTAATATTGATAACGCGAAATTATTTTATATATTCGACTTGATTCACATGCACTTTTATTTTATTTTTCATTAATTTTATCTTGTTATGCCAGTATTTCTATTTCATTTCAGGTATTTACATTTCAAAAGGCTCGCATAAGAAAAGATAAAGAAATGACATAAAACGTGTGACTTTGTAGCAGAAAACAGAAGAAACTGCATCAGAAGACTGACGATCATCACCGCCTCCTACCGATCGCCACATTATTTGTTTATGTGTGCCCCTCGACACACATGTGTGTGCCTCTCGGCACACATGTGTTCCGGTCGCCACGCCTTTAAAATATGTGTGTCCCTCGGCACAAGTTGAAAATATGTGTGCCCCACACGACACACATTGCATGGCGCTCGACACAAGTCAATTTCAGTGTTAAACAGAGTTCTCTCCACGTCCACAATGAAGCTCCCATGAATTCCTCAACTTCTTCGACCATGATATGCATTATCTCCACTATTTCCAACTTCCCACTATCTCCACCTTCTTCAACTTTCCATGATCTCCATTACCTCTCACATGTTAACTTCCATTAGTTCTCTCTATAAAAACGATGGAGCATTCATTTTTAGAACATCCAAGTTTTATGTGCAGATTATTATTCTTAGTTTTTAGGCAGAAAAGTTTACCATGTAAGAGTGGTAGTTTCTTACATCGAGGAACTACCACACTATTAGTACTAGGACTTCTTTTATGCACGCTTGAATCAACAATCCTGCTGAAATTCTTCTTTCAATTTAGTTTCAGAATCAATTTCAATTCAGCTTTTATTTTCAGGTTTCATTTTAGTTATTACTTTAATTGTTTCAAGTCTCTATTATTTTTGGTTTTATCGCTTTTATTATTATACTGCTTCTCTTAATTTCCAGCTTTGATTATTGTCAATTGTTGCTGTAATTAAATTTCCAGTTTCAGTTTGTATTGCTATTATTATTATTCACTACATATTTAAATATCACGTTGTTCTTAATTGGAACTATTATGTTTAATTCATTTTCAACTAATTCCATTTCTAGCTAAATTATTTAGAGTCTGATATGTGAGGACCGTCATCTCCGACGGGACTCGGTAACAAATGTTTGATTAATTAACTAATTTAGAAATTATGTTTCGGTCTTTGTTTTTAAACTTAATTTAAATAGCTTTTTCACGAGAGTGAGATGTTACTTAACACGATTTCGCCACGAGAATGGGAAATTAACTTAGGTTCGATCCGGTACTGCGAGAGAGTGGGAATCGTACCGGATAGTAGAAACTAGACATTAATTCTAAATATAGCGAGAGCGCTTTAGGATTAATTAGAACTTGTTCGGTTTTCAAAACACATTCCTTAATTAAAATTGGCGAGCGAGAGCAAAATCTCATGGTTAAGGAATGAAACTTTATTCAAAATTACGAGAGTGTGAGGTTCAGTCTTTGAATTGATATTTTTTACTAAACACAATTTTAACATCAGTATAAGCCAATGAGTTACAGAGTTCCAGGGAGGTACACGAAATACACATTTCAGTCTCTCTTTATATATATATATATATATATATATATATATATATATATATATATATATATATATATATATATATATATATATATATATATATATATATATATATATATATATATATATATATATATATATATATATATATATATATATATATATATATATATATATATATATATATATATATATATATATATATTTTCCCTTAATCTTATTTTATTTCAGTTTTAGTTCTTAGTTTCCCCTAAAGTCCAATCATTCATTAGCCTTAGTTTTACAAAGCGACAATAGATTACAGTAGGTTGACATTGGTCTCTGTGGGTTCGGTAATATTTTATATTACTTTGATATTTTTGTGCACTTGCGGATGCATCAAGTTTTTGGCGTTGTTGTCGGGGACCAATAGTCAATATTGTCATTTTCGTTGTTGCACCGTATAGACTAAGGCACTCTTATCTTAATTGTTATGTATCACCCAAATTTTTTCTACAACTTCTACTCTCAATATTTCGAGGAATCACAAGAATCCCATAAATCCGACCTCGAAATACTAATGGAGGACTTCAATGCGTCACTAATTCACTCTTACTCAAATTACCTCTACTACCAATCCCAACATTTTGAGGAGTCTCAAGAATCCCATAAATCAGATCTCGAAACATTAATAGAGGATTATAATGCGATGCTAACTTATCCTCAACCAAATTTCCTCTACAATCACCACGCCCAATATTTTGAGGAGTCGCAAGAATCCCGAAATTCCACTCTCGACACATTAATGGAGGATCTCGTTGCAACACTAACTCACTCTAGGCTAGAAACCATGATGACAGAGCGCTTTGTGGAGACAGAAAATGTGATGCAAACACACTTTGAGGAACCAGATGAATCCCATAATTTAAACCCCAAAACATCAATGGAGGATTTCAATGCGATGTTGACTCACTCTAGGCTAGAATCTATGATATAGAACTATATAGAGACCCAAACTATACAAAATAAAGAGTTGAGAGAACAAAGTCTTCATAATAATGAAACCCTTAGACAACTGAACAATGCGGTTGAGTCCCTTGTGACTCACAACGTGACCTTGGAGACTCAAATCTCCTTGCTTGAACAAAAACCTCTAGGACCCTTCCCTGAGGAGCATGTGGATGTTGTAACAACCAATAGTGAAAAACAAATTGAAAATCCTAAGGAGAGTGATAATGAGGTTGGAGAGAGTAATAGTGAGGTTGAGAAGAGTTCTGACGAGAAAAGAGTAGAGATTATGAAAAATACACCGACGCTGTCCGGAAGGGAGGTTGTCGAGGAGGTAGAGAAGGAAACACCTATTTTTGTTCCTCCTCCCTATACCCCACCGGTTCATTTCCCGCAAAAGTTTGTGGAAGCCAAGATAGATTCCCAATCCAAAATGTATATGGAGGTATTGAAAAATATCCACATCAATGCACCTTTGCCTGAGGTCCTACATAAAAAGAGAAAATTCGAGGACCGTGAAACTAGGGAAATAAACAATTTTAAGAGAGGAATGTTAACCTTTGAGGTGGTGGATGAAATAACAAAGCCCAAACTTGAAAAGATGATACTCAAGATAGATCCAGAACCACCACCACAAGTTCAAAAGAATGAACCACCCAATAGAAGAAATAAAAGAA